TGATGGTTTGGTTTTGCGGCACTTGCGGGGGTATTGCAGATACGCAGCTGCGTTCGTTGGGCAAGTCTTGTTCTGGTCACCCCACCCGCAAGGGCCGCGAGTACCTCGCTCGAATTGAAGCAGGGATGCTCCCCAAAGCACTTTGCAAGACCGACCTCCTCAGGCGGCAGCAGAGAGCTCAGCTCTAATTTCGAGCACGAACTTGCATTCGCAACTGGTTCATACTCATACTCGTACTCATCCTCCTCCGCCGCCGCCGCCGCCTCCGCCTCCGCCTTCTCGTCCCTCCTCCTCCTCCTCCTTCTCCTCCTCCTCCCCCTCCTAGACCTCATCCTGGTCGCCCTCCTCCTTCTCCTCCTCCTCCTCATCATCATCATCACCATCATTACCTTCAGCATCATCATCATCACCACCATCATCAGCATCATCGTCATCATCACCATCCCCATCCTCATTCTCACCCTCATCCTCATCATCATCACCATCATCATCAGAGCATCATCATCATCACCACCATCATCACCACCAGCAGCAACATCAGCATCATCATCATCAGCATCATCATCAACAGCATCATCCTCATCATCATCATCATCATCCTCTTTCTCCTCCTCCTCCTCCTGCGCCTCCGCCTCCGCCTCCGCCTTCTCCTCCCTCCTCCTCCCTCCTCCTCGTCCTCCTCCTCCCCCTCCTGCCCCAGCTCCTGCTCATGCTCCTGCTCCTGCTCGTTCTCGTGCTCCTCCTCCTCCTCCTACCACTACTACCACTACTACCACTACTACTACTACTACTACTACTACTACTACTACTACTACTGCTACTACTACTACTACTACTACTACTACTACTACTACGATACTACTACTACTACTACTACTACTACTACTACTACCACTACTACTACTACTACTACAAAACTCTACTACGGCTACTACTACTACTACTACTACTACTACTACTACTACTACTTCTACTACTACTACTACTACTACTACTACTACTACTACTACTACTACTACTACTACTACTACTACTACTACTAACTACTACTACTACTACTACCACGACTACTACTACCGCTAATACTGCTACTACTACTACTACTACTACTACTACTACTACTACTACTGCTGCTACGACTACGAGTACACCTACTAGTACTAACAATACTACTCCTACTACTGCTACCAATACTACTGTTATTGCTACTACTACTACTTGTGCTAATACGACTACTACCACCACTACTACTACTACTACTACTACTACTACTACTACTACCCACTACCACTGCTACTACTACTACTAATAATAATACTACTATTACTACTACGACGACGACTACTACTACTACTACTACTACTATTACTTCTTCTTCTTCTACTACGACTACTACTACTACTACTACTACTACTACTACTACTACTACGACTACGACTACTACTACTACTAATACTACTACTACTACTAGACGACTACTACTACTACAACTACTACTACTACTACTACTTCTACTACTACTACCACGACTACTGTTTCTACAACTACTACTACTACGACTACGACGACTACGACTACTACTACTACTACTACTACTACTACGACAACCACGAGTACTACTACTACTACTACTACTACTACTACTACTACTACTACTACTGCTACTGCTACTGCTACTGCTTAGTACTAGCAAGAAGAGAGCTACTAATAAAAAGTAATTACTAATGCTACTACAATACTACTACTACTACTACTACTACTGAGCTCTACCATTACCACTATCCAACTGACCACTACCACTACTACTACTACTACTACTACTACTCTACTACTTACTACTCATTACCATTACTAACTACTAGTCTGGCAGTACGACTACTAGGCTACTACTACTAGACTACTACTACTACTACTACTACTACTACTACTACTACTACTACCACTACGACTACTACTACTACTACTACTACTACTACTACTACTACTACTACCACCACTGCTACTACGACTACTGCTTCTTCTACTACTACGGCTACTACTACTACTACTACTACTACTACTACAAACACTACTCTACGACTACTACTACTACTACTACTACTACTACTACTACTACTACTACTACTACTACTACTACTACTACTACTACTACTACTACTACTATTACTACTACTACTCTACTACTACTACTACTACTACTACTACTCTACTACTACTACTACTACTACTACTACTACTACTACTACTACTACCATAACTACTACTAGCTACTATACTACTTACTACTACTGCTACTACTACTACTACTATACTACTACTACTACTAACTACTACCACTACTCTAACTACTACTACTACTACTACTACTACTACTACTACTACTACTACTACTACTTACTACTACTACTAACACTACTACTACTATACGACTACTACTACTACTCCTACTACTACTACTACTACTACTACTACTACTACTACTACTACGACTACTACTACTATTACTAATACTACTACTACTACTACTACTACTACTACTACTACTACTACTACGACTACTACTACTACTAATACTAATACTACTACTACTACTACTACTACTACTACTACTACTACGACGAGTACTAGTACTATCATTCGCATGAATGCTAGTACTACCACTACTGCGACGACGACGACGACGACGAGTACTGCTGCTACTACTACTACTACTACCACCACCACCACCACTACTACTACTACTACTACCACTACTACTACTACTACTACTACTACTACAACAACTACTACTACTACTACTACTACCACTACTACTACGACTACTACTACTACTACTACTACTACTACTACTACTACTACTACTACTACTACTACTACTACTACTACTACTAGTATTACGATCCATAATCGTTGTCAGAATATACTCGTACTCCCCCCTGTGCCTGGCCGACAGCAACCCCATCCGGGTGGACCCATCCTGCTTTCAAAAAATCAATACAAAGTCTCCGTTGTTCCTTTCAACATGGCGTGTCTTGTCGTCGACGACGCGAAATGCGTGGCAGGAATGGGGCGCGGCGCACATCGCGCGCGAACGTCCACGCGGGCCCTCCCATCCTGACTGGAAGAAATCAATACAAAGTCTCCGTCGTTCCTCTTAACATGGCCTGTCTTGTCGTCGACGATGCGCGATGCGTAGCACGAATGGGACGCGGCGCACATCGCGCGCGGACGTCTGGGGCAACCCCAAACGGGAGAGGCCATCCTATCGTTCAAAAACCAATACAAAGTCGCCATGTTTCTTCTCAACGGGGATTTTCTTGTGGTCGGTTTCGCGACATGCGTGGCAGGAATGGGGCGCGGTGCACATCGCGCGCTACAAAGCGAAATGTCGTTCCCGCTTCGGCGCCGCGCGCATGTTTTCTGAAGGTTGCGCTCCCGCCTAAAAGCGCGGCGCGCATGTTTCGCTCGCCAATGCGTTTAGCGCCTATGGCCCCCTGGGGCCTCCCAAGGTCTCCTGGAAAATCCTGGGGTTCCCCGGGGCTTCCCCAGGGCCTCGTGGATCCTCCTGGGGCCACCTGAGGCATCGTGGGGATTCCTGAGATTCCCCGGGGCGCCCCGACACCCCCGAGGGCTTCCTGGGGCCTCCTGAAACCTCCTGGGTGCTGCCTGTTCCCTCCTGAAGCCTCGTGGGGCTTCCTGGGGGTCGCTGGGGTTTCCTGCAACCTCCTGGGGCCTCCTGAGGCCTCCTGGTGCCTCCCGAGGCTTCCTGGGGCCTCCTCGGCTCGCGCCGCAACGCCAGCGCAGTCTTTGAGACGCGCCAGGAATTTCCCATCGGTAACCGCCATCGCGGCTGCACCAGCTGTGGCAAACCGCCCTGCCGATCTGATTTCAGTCGCAGTTGCGCCAGCACTGTTTCTGATGTTGTGGGAGGGCGGGTGGGAATGGGCATGCCATGCTTGACTCGCTTGAGCTGGCTAGCTTGACTTCCACTCCTACTCCTACTACTCCTTCTCCTCCTACTCCTCCTCCTCCTCCTCCTGCTCCTCCTCCTCCTCCTCCTTCTGGCCCACCCACCTCCTCCGTCTTCCCCTCCTCCTCCTCCTCCTCCTCCTCCCCCTTCTTCTGCTCCTGCCCCCCGGAGACCCCAAAATGGCGACAGCGCGCTCGAATTCTACGTGCCATGGGGCCAAGCGTGTAGCGCGTCAGAGGGGCCGTGTCTGGTTGATCGGATAATTGGCTTGGAAGCCTACGAGTTGGCGTCGGAAGTCGCATTGAAGCTTGGTTTTCGGGGCAGTCATAGGCCATCCTTGGGCAATAATGCAATTCTCTTCGGAACCATTTAGGCCTCCGAGGCCATCTTGGAGCCACATTTTCGCAACAAATGGGAATTCAACGAAAGGAGGAGAACACGGTGGGATTCCTTTTGGCTTGGTCCTTTGGGAGAAAAAAGAAACACTGATTTGGCCCTCTTGGAACCCCTGTGTGGGCACTCTAGCGGCCTCTTGGGGCCTTACTGTACTGTTGAAAACTTCCTGAGGCAACCTAGGGCCTCCTCTGGGACCGTCGTGGGACCCTCCTGATCTTTTGCGCAACTGTGTCAGTCTCCCGGGCAAGCTCGGAGGGAGGAAGGGGACGAGGACCAGGCCGATAATCTCAAGCAGTGGCGAAGCGTCCTGGCTCGCCCTACGGCTTCACGGAATGAGACGAAAATACCACCCGACAGGCCTGACAAGTCACACCGGACTACGGCAAGAGCGTACGCGCGAAAGGATCTGTAAGTCCTTGTGCACTAGCTGCACGGATTGTGTGTCATTGCTTTTCGAACTGGGGCCCTCGCCTGGGACAAACTGAAGCATCTGGTTGTCGCTCTGCCTCGAGGGCCCACCTGGAAAATGCAAAATTCCGACGGCGTCAGACGGGCCAGGAGCCCACCAAGATGGCCGAAGGTGGCTCGCAGCTGGCCCAAGGGCACTGCAGCGCCTATACACCAAATTTGTCAGTGCTCTATCGAAACCCCCTCGATTGGCAAGGTGTGGTCACGGACATCGCTGGGCCGGAAAGGCAACCGACAACTGCAGCAGCTCCCACCCCGCGCCACCGTGGGCAGGTCTCCCACTGGGCGAGCAGGTCTCCCACTGGGCGAGCAGGGGGCGAGGAGGAGGAAGAGGAGGAGGAGGGAGTGGGGAGGAGCAGGGGGAGAAGGAGGGAGTGAGGAGGAGGAGGACAAGGAGGAGCAGAAGGAGGGAGGAAGAGGAGGAGGAAGGAGAAAGGAGGAAGGAGAAAGGAGGAAAGAGGGAGGGCGAGTGAGACCGGGAGGAGAGAGACGAAGAAGGGTGAAGGAGAAACTCGCAGAAAATGGAGGAGAGCACAAGAGTGAGAGAGGAAGGCGGGAGGGAAAAGACGGGAGGAGGCCGGGGAGAGAAGGGAAGTGTGGGGGATGGAGAGGTGGAGGAGGCAGCAGGAGCGTACGTATCCACCTGGCTGCTCGAGAAGGGACGCAAGAGAGGATGGCGAGAGTCGAACTGCTGCGACACTGGTTGCACCAAGGCACTGGGGGTGCTGCAGGCACGAGCCTCGGCGGCGACCCCGCCCCAGCGCCGCCACGCCCAAGCGTGCCCAGCGTCCAAGAGTCGGGGCGCCCGCGACGATGGCGAGGACAACAGGGGCTCGCACAGAGGCGAGCACCAGATCACCGAAGACAGAGGCGAGCCCGGGACCATCGAAGACCGAGGCTCGCACAGAACCGAGCCTCACGGGACGTCTCTCCTCCTTACGCTCCCAGCGCACCTTCTGCCCACGGAGGCATCCATCCCTCCAGCCATCTGCTCAAGGGTGGCGGCTGACTGAGTGTGAGGGGAGGAGGCAGGAGGAGAAGGAGGAGGAGGAGGAGGAGAAGGAGGAGGAGGAGCGATGGAGAGAGTGTTTGTATACTTACGTAGTGTTTGTGATCTTTCTGGATCTAAGGTGTCTTCGAGTTGAGGCGTGCAAGATGTATCTTGTCATCTCTACGGGGCCGCTCGGGGGACTCGTGAGGGCCACTTGGGCGTCTATTGGGGGACCCTCGGGAGCTTCTTGGAGGCTTCTTGGGGGACCCTGGGACCTCTCGGAGACAGCCGGGATGCTCCGGGGGCCACCGTGGCGCCGAGGGCGATCGGAGGGCCGCTCGGGGGGCGCGTGGGGGCCTCTTGGGGGCCTCTTGGGACTCTCTGAAAGCGCGTTTGGGCCGTCTTTTGGGGGCGAAGTCGGCGTCAGCACGTCATCTCGAGCTCTCGCTCGTTTGAAATGCCCACGGGGCGCCGTTGACGGTGCTCCGTATATAGTGGGACTTTACAAGAGCAGCAGAGAGCTCGAGCCCTGTCGCTCTGCATACCGGGCGGAGTTGCCTCCTTCTCGTTGCCCATAAAAAAATTAGCAATCGGTTTGTATCAGCGTGCCGCCCACAACGGGCACAAGACTCAAAGAGAAAGGGCAGCGCCGTGCGACCATTAGTCGTCACGGGGGTGCCACGGGCCCCTGGAATCGGGCAGCAGACCGTGCTGCGCCTGCCCCGGACCTCTGGTCCCTCTCCTCCTCCCCCTCTTCCTCACCCTGCCCCCCCCCTGGGCGCCGCTGAGCAGGTGCCGCTCCTGTGTGCTCTTTATGTACACCAGCACGACCCTTGAAAGATCCGCCGTGCCAGCATTCCGGTAGGCGCAGGCCGCCCGAGGCGGTCTGGCAGGCCGATCCCTCCCCTCCGCGAGGTCACCCCAAAGCGCGTCTGGGCCGTCTTGGGAGCCTCCTGGGCCGTCCTGGGGCCATCGCGGGCTTCTTGGTGTCCTCTATGGGACGTCCAAAACTTCTACCGCCGGTCCCGCGGCTTCGGGGAAGCCTCAGGAAGGGTTATGTCGGGCCTGTCCCCCTACAGGGGGATTTTCGACGAAAAACAAAAAATACCCCAAAACATGCCCCAAAAAGGTACAAAAAAAGGTAAAAATAGTCCCCAGACTATGTTTGGACTATTTTTTGACTATGTGGGGGGCATTTTCTATGCGTCGCCAAAAAAAAACCCTGCAGGAGGACAGGCCCGACTCAAAGGAGGGCCCGGGAGACGTCCGGGAAGGCCCGGGGAGGCTCCCGGAGAGGGGCGGCGGCACTCCGTGCCACCCTGCCTGGTGCGCCGCGGCCCAGGGGCCTACGGCGTGCGGGGCCGGGTTGTGGAGGGTTGTCGAACCCCTCCTCCTCCTCCTCCTCCTCCTCCTCCTCCTCCTCCTCCTCCTCCCCCTCCTCCTCCTCCTCCCCCTCCTCCTCCTCCCAGGGGGCCCCCAGGACTCCAGAGAGCATCAGAACACAGCTTCGCGCTGGGGCCGGGAGAGGGAGGAGGAGAGCGAGGATAACGCGAAGCCCGCGGCTGCCTGGGCGGCGGCCACCCAGCACCAGTTCCACTCTGCTGGCGTCTACGATGGGCACAGTTCGAGCCTTGAAACTAGGGCGCGAGCCAAACGGTGCTCTCCGTTGTCGTTTTATTGTAGTGGTCCCTCCCTCGGTCTGCATCTGTTCCGCCCGTGCTGCAAAACGAGGTCGAAACGAAAAAGCTCTACGGAGTCGTCGAAAAGCCACCCAGCTCCCGCCCTGCTTGAAACTATCAAGGTAAACCTCTTTGAAAGAGAGCGCTGCGAGCATGCACCGCATCAGCAATTATAAACTGGCGGGGCTTTGTGGGCCTCAAACACTGGCGGCTTGGCCAGCTTTCAAGAAAAGCTGCCAGCTAAACGCTGACCCGAGCATGGAACTTTCGGACAGCTCTCTTTTGAAAAAAACTGCAAATATCATGTCATCCGCTTGGAGTGACCCTAGGCAAGAGCGACCTGCGGTGCCGGCTTAGAAATGGCGACGCGGGGTGGCCAGACCTGGGCGCGCGAGCCGCCGCCGCCGCTTCGCGCTCAACGATCGGGGGGCCCCATTAGACCCGCACCACAGGCCACTCCTGCGAAAGGCCACTCGCCCGTCTGATCGAATCTCCTCGCGCGCGCGCGCCTCAGAAGCAGACCGCGAGGAAGCGAGCAGCTGCGGCGCCAGCTGGGGCCGCCTCGGCGGCGGCTCAGACGTGCAGACCGGCCTCCACGTCGCCGCCAGGGCACTGCTCCCCGCCCGCTCGGGCGCCCTCGCAGGGACGGGGGCAGGAGAAGCGAAGGGGGGGGGGGGCTTCCTGGGCGGCGCGCACCACTGGGGCAGGGGAAGGGGAGGAGGCCTCTTAGCAGGAGGCCGCCTCTTCGAAGGCGCCGGCCTCGCGTCTGCAGACGAGGCCCGCGCCTTCGAAGGAGCGAGGGCGCTGCTGAGGAGCCTTCCCCCCTCCCCCCTGCCCCTCTCGGCGCGTGGCCGACCTCTCGTGGCGGCGCGGCCCACAGGGTGGACGGGGCCAGCGGGCGAGCAGGCACCGCCGCTCCGACGGGCTGGCGCTGCGATGGCAGAGCGGGCGGGCTTTAGGGCCCAGAGGGGCCCCGACATCCGGAGGTCGCGGAAGAACCGCGGCGGACAAACTGCTGGACCGTCCTCTGCTTCTGGGGGCACTTCACTGGGCCCCGGGGCCGCCAGAAAAGAAAGCTGCTCGGGAGGAACAGGCAGTCCCGCTGCAGGGGTCCAGATCTCCGGGGGGCCATACTTGTATATGCAGGGAGTTTGAAAAAGAACACGGATTTTCTTTAAAGCAAGGAATTTAGTTGTCGCGTAGAGATCGCAGCCCCGAAGCGGGGCAGAAAATTAAGCTAGGATGTTTAAAAACAAGAACCAGGGCAGCGACGCGGCATGAAACAAAACAAGGTTTCGTCTGGGAGCTGTGCTGGGGGGAGATCTAGGCGAAGATCTGGGGGAAGATCTGGGTGCAGATCCGAGGGACAAAATCTGGGGAAGATCTGGGGGGAGAGTCGGGCGAAGATATGAAGGGAGATCTGAGCGAAGATCTAAGAGGGCATCAGGGTGAAGATCTGGAGGAAAATCTGGCGAGATATCCGAAGGGAGATCCGGGGAAGATCTGGGGAAGATCTGGGCGAAGATCCGGCGGGGGATCGGGGCGAATATCTGGAGGAAGATCTGATGGAAGATCTGGGATGATTTGCTCTGGGGGAAGATCTGGAGCATCTGGCGAGATATCTGAGGACTGCGTGGAGGAAGATCTAGGCGAAGATCTGGGGGAAGATCCGAGGAACATCTGGAGGAAAATCCGAAGGGGGATATCGGGGGATATCTCGGCGAAGATTTGGAGGAAGATCTGGGCGAAGATCTGAAAGGATATTGGCGAAGATCTGGAGGAAGATCTGGGGAAGATCTGGATGAAGATCTGGGCGAAGATCTAGTGGAAGATCTGGGGGGAGATCCGGGGAAGATCTGGGGGGAGATCGGGGGGAAAACCTGGGCGAAGATCTGGGGTGAGATCTGGGGCTAGATCTGAAGGGGGAAACTGAAGGATCATCTGGGGGAAGATCTGGGGGAAGATCTGGAGGAAGATCTGGGAGGAGATCCAGGGGAACATCTGGGGGAGACAACCGAGGGGAGATCTGGGGGAAGATCTGAGGAAGATCTGGGGGGAAGATCTGGGGGGGATATCTGGGGGAAGATTTGGGGGAAGATTTGAAGGGAAAATCAGGGGAAAGATCCGGGGGGGGATCTGGGGGAAGATCTGGGGGAAGATCTGGGGGAAGATCTGGGGGAAGATCTGGGGAAAGATCTGGGGGAAGATCTGGGAGGAAAATCTGGGGGAATATTTGGGTGAATATCTGGAGGAAGATCTGGGTGCAGATCTGGGGGAAGATTTGGGGGAAGATCTGGGGGAAGATCTGGGGGAAGATCTCGGGGAAGATCTGGGAGGAAGATCTGGGTGAAGATCTGGGGTGAGATCTGGGGGAAGATCTGGGGAAGGATCCAGGGGAAGATCCGGGGGGAGATCTGGGGGAAGATCTGGGGGAAGATCTGGGGGAAGATCTGGGGGAAGATCTGGGGGAAGATCTGGGGGAAGATCTGAGGAAGATCTGGGGGAAGATCTGGGGGGAGATCTGGCGAAAGATCTGGGGAAAGATCTGGGGGTGACCATTTTGAAGCTTACGTTTTCAAAAATCACTCGCGCGATGACGGCAGAACATGAAACAAAACAAAGAAATTCCAACATATGATTTTAGAGTAGATCCGCGAAGCTGAGTGAAAACGAAAACGGAGGAGGCGCGCCGCGCGAAATGCGAAGACGCGATGAAGAGAAAACGGGCGCAAAAAAACAAAACATGGCCACCCTTCTCGCACACAAACAAAACGCGAACAAAACGCACGGCTCGTGCCCGCGCGAGAACAAAACACCAAACACAACATAGGCCTCATTCCCCAAACGGGCAGGCCCGCGCCTACTGTGCAGAGTCCGCGCAAAACGTATTCCCGAACGCGTTTAGAACGAAAAACAAAAAGAAAACGAAAACAACAGGGAAAAAACAAGTAAACAGTGTTTAGCTTGAGCCCTGTGAAGAAGATCCGAGCCAGATCTGAGGAAGATCTGGAGGAGATCTGAGGAAGATCTGAGGACGATCTGAGGGGAAGATCTAGCTGAAGATCTGCGGGGAGATCAAGGGGAACATATGGGGGAAGATCTGGGTGAAGATCTGGAGGACAATTCGGAGGAATATCTGGGGGAAGATCACCGTGGCCATTTTAAAAACTAGGTTTTCGAATATCACTCGCGCGATGACGACACTGCATGAAACAAAACAAGGGATTTTACAAATATGGTTTTAGAGTAGGTCCGCGAGGCTGGACCCCAAACAGCAGGTTGCTGCAATGTATGCGGTGCTATATATATATGTGTTGCAATTAATTTCTGTTCGCGATGACTTGTCCACTCCACTGCTCGCGCAAACATCCCACCCACCAACCCGCAACTTGGTTTGCAAAATCTCTTAAGACAGTGACGGTGGGTACCAAATGGCACTTGGCAACGACAGCGACGCCGACGACGACAGCGACAACGACGACGACGACGCCGCCGACAACGACGACAACGACACCGACGACGTCTCCTACGACTTCGACGACGCCGACAACGACGACGACGACGACGACGACGCACCGACGACGACGAAGACGACGACGACGCCGACGCCTACGACGACGACGACGACGACGACGCACCGACGACGACGAAGACGACGACGATGACGACGACAACGACGACACCGACGACGACGACGTCAACGACGCCGACGACGACGACGACGACGACGACGACGACGACGACGGCGACGACCACGACGCCGACGTCGACGACGACGAAGACGACGACGCCGACGCCGACGACGACGACGAAGGCGACGACGACGTCGCCAACGAAGGCGACGACGAGGGAGGAGGGAGGGAGGAGGGAGGACGACGAAGGCGACGACGGCGACAACGACGACAACGACGACAACAACGAGGGAGGAGGGAGGACGGCGACGACGCGAACGACGAAGAAGGAGGAAGGACGGCGACGCCGACGACGTCAACGACGAGGGAGGAGGGAAAACGACGACGACGACAACGGCGACGACGACGACGACGGCGACAAAATAGGAGGGACGACGACGAGACGCCGACGACGGACGACGACGACGACGAGGCAGGAGGAGGAAGGACGACCACGGCGACAACGACGGCGGAAACGACCACGACGCCAAAGAGGACGACGACGACGAACACGAGGAAAGACAGAGCACGACGTAGGCAACGACGACGACGACGACGCGGGAGGAGGGAGGACGGCGACGACGACGACGACGACGACGACGCAAGAACGCGCACACACGCTTTTGTTGAAAATCCGTGTTGCGAAACCTTGTGTCTTTGTAGGTTTTTTGGACACACGATTTTGAAATCCTTCCGAAACCGATGGGTTTTGAAGGAGTTCGGCATACGCGCGCGACGACGCGCGCGTCTGCACTTCGCCCCATTTGTTGCAGAGGATTCGCTCGCGCGTAAGCTTTTTTAGCAAATCAGTGTTGCGGAACCCTGTGCTTTCTGTATGTTTTTTGGAAACTCGATTGCGAAATCCTTCCGACACCGAAGGTTCTTGAAGAATTTCGGCATGCGCGCGCGACGACGCGCGCGTGTGCACTTCGTCCCATTTTGTTGCAAGGGATTCGCGAAAAAAGTCTTATGTTAGACGAAAAAATGTCCCCGCGTATTGTCTTTTACAAGGGAATATCAGGGGGAGCGATACCAGCCCCCCTGAGATAGTAAATTCATATTTAGGATGGACATGTGGTCAGAATCATATATGATTTACATACCCGAGGGCGGATAACGCCGGGGGGGGGTAGGGTCCTCCTTTTAAAAAGGAGAATCAATCACTTGCTCAATTTGAAGCTGTCCTCCCCACTGCTCACGCAAACATCCCACCCTCCCCCCCGCAACCTGGTCGCAAGACCTCTTAAGACCGTGACGGTGGGTACCACATGGCACTTGGCAATGACACCGACGCCGACGACGACAGCGACAACGACGACAACGACGACGACGCCGCCGACGACGACTACGACGACACCGACGACGTCTCCAACGATTT